CGGCTGAATGGTAGGGGCTGCAGATGTAACTAATGGGGTTAGGAGAGACGAAGCTCAAGTGGAGAGGGAGGGGATGGAGGGGAAACAAAAGTGATTGTATCGGTAATAGAGACTTCAAAGAGGGGTCTTTTGGAAGATTTGGGGGGGGGTGTGATCTGGCAAAGGGAGAAAGAGGCACATCTGCCTGTAGAGTGGCTGATACAGGAGAAGAAAGGCCTGCCAGGGGAAAAATCAGGAGGAGAATCAAAGGCAGGGAGACTAGTGCTGCAGACGGAAGGAAGCCTGATTCTACTTGTAGATGGAATGCCACAAGGCCTCGTACCCTTGGAAGTGTCCCAAACTGTCCTGCTTAGAGTGTCCCGCCCAGGAGACATCTTACTAAGGTAAAGACAAAAAGGAACTGTAATCAGTTTGTCTTGATGTTTGAAAATAAAACAAATTCATCTTGATGTTTGAGAAGTCTTTCATCACAACACTGGTGTGTGGTTTAAATATTAACCACTCCCCCCTCCTTCCTTCCCTACGTGTTGGAAGTTTGAAAACACCATTTGGTCAAAAAGGCACTCTTTTAGTGGAAAACTAAAGTTTGAGTTTTGTGGATAAAAGTGAGGAACAGGTAGGCAGTGTCTGCTCTTTCCTGAGACAAGGTAGATACTTGAGAAGCAGACACTTGAATCCCAATGTGTGTGTGTGTGTGTGTGTGTGTGTGTGTGTGTGTGAGAGGTGAGAGGTTTGTGTGTGTTCCTCAACTCACAAATAGAGAGAGAGAGAGAGAGCTATGCTGGCAGTACAATAGGAAGTGGGGAGAAAGGGCAAGGATCACATTTTTAAAGCAGCATCAAGGAGGAATGAGGAATGCAGGGTCCAGAGCTGGGCTGTGCCACTAAACATCACCCCACTTTCTGGAGAGCTGTTGCCACCACCAGTGGAACTCCTGTTCTGACATGGCGAACACCACTCCGTTTTTTAAGGCCAGCTCAAGCATGCCCTTTCTTACAGCTGTGGTGACCTGTACAAGGAGAGAAAATAAGTCCCTCCTTGTCCATAAATGGAATCAAGGACTTCCCTTGTTCATTACTGAATTCATTCCATCAGTCACTCAACAAACATGTATGGCTTTCTTGCATGTCTCTTGCATACTGAGCATTTATTGAATATCAAATGTCGGAACATTTACGACGTGCCAGGCTCTGACCTGGCCAGTTCTGGCGCTGATCCATGAGGCTCTGTGAGGACTCACCTTGGGACTATTGGTGGGAAAGTAGTGCCTGGCGCCTGGTGAGTGGCTAATATTTGTCAATTACAATCACGAATTGACTGACTATAAAATAACTTCCCTGTTGGCAGGTTTGTAGTAAAATGCTTCCAATAGGTGCGAGCTTTCAAAGCTTGCCTTTCTCCCGTAGAAGTATATACTCATTAGCAAAACAACTTTTAACATGTTGCAGTGCAGTTCTTGGTTTAATCACAATCATAGGTCAGGCAGCTCTTTCCTGGGCACAGCCCATACACCAGCGCACACGTAGCCTCTCACAGAGCCTGCGCGGTAGGGTCTGTGGATTCATTTCTGATTGATATAAATGCCAGCAGCCAGTACTGAGCACTCACAACATTGCTGAGCGCGGGGCTGATGTCCTGGGAGCCCACACTCTCCCTGTTAGACACTATTCAGACAATTCTACACTTACCCCATAACAGGCCTTTTTTTTTTTCTAACCCAATTTCCTTGACCTGTGTTTTCCTTCTAACCAGACTTCAGAGACAAAGGCAGAGCAGTAAATCATTTTCTTAGAAAAACACCGTCAGGCTATTTCAGTCATTGGAGCTGTTATTTATATGCCGTACCTGAACAGTTATTTTGAGATAGTGTGGCTCACTAAATTATATTTTCCTCATTATCATGATGACTTCAAAATGATCATTAATTTGCTCTTTGGTTTTTTAAGTGGGAAAACATCAAAGAAGCGAAAGTTCCCCCTAATTTAGCTTTTCTTGAAAGGTAACTGATTTACAAACAAATTACTTGGGCCTTGTAAGGAAGAGCCAAACTGCCTGCTCATTTGATACATTTTCAAGGGCTACGGTGTGGAAATGAAGCTCTCAGAAGCTCCCCTGTGATCCACAAACAACTTCACGCTGTATTACACGTGCATCAGATACACAGACCAAACCCTGTGAGCGGCCAGCAACCTGCCCTGCAGAACGCCAGCTTGCCAGGGCCTTACACTGGAGCTTATTGAAACTGCCAACTTGCCAGCCACCGCTTACAGGTGATTTTGAAAGTGATCAACTAAAGAGCTTCATCTCCGTGCTTTGTTTCTTAAATCACACATACATCATCTTTGAAAGGTGCTATTTCATCTCTCCTCCAAAAGCTCCCCAACTTTGTTAAGAAACTGCCTTACCGACTAAAAATGTATCTAAACCATGCATGAAGCTGCAACAGATATTCCAACTTGAGGGCAAATGATGTTAAGCGACACGGACAGGAATTTCCAGGATGAAGTTTTGCCTTGAATAAAGATCGCACGAGAGGCATTTTGAAGTCATAACTTTATGGTGTCAGATGATCAAAGCCAAGTATTAATACTTTTTTTTATCAGTTCACCTTCTAAACACTATTCCAGTAGATTTCCTTTCACACAGGGATATTTGTAATAAATGTTCTGCCTTTGTTTTAAAGTCAGTCTGTAGAAAGATGACATCAGCTTAGCAAACAATAAAGTGCCTGTAATATTGTCTCCAGAGGGCTGTTACATTTACTTTGTAGCAGTAAAATTCAATTTTCAAAAAACACTACATGAAGGATATGAGGTTATTAACCCTATCACCGCCGTAAAAATATCATCATTGTGTGCGGAATGTAGGTCACTGTCTAGAAGCCATAAGTTGCTTTTTTTGTGTGTGTGAAATAATCCATTTAAGCTTCTTTTCTCTCCTATTGCCTGGACTGTGTCCCTTCCCTTGGAGAAAAATATCCCAGCATTGAGTGAGCAGGCTAGAACAAGACCCCTACACTTTCCACTTTCAGCTTCTCTTCCTTTTTTGCTACCACGCTACACCGCCCAGTTTTGAAGTAGCCCTCTGCATTTACTTTTAACCCAAGCCAGTCCTGCGTCAATCAAAAATTAGTATATTTTGTCAGGTTTTCCACATGTTTCTCTTTTGGGACAAAAAGAAAAGGAAAGGATGTCCCCTTTCAAAGCTCGAGTCACTCTCGCATTTCCTGACCTTAAGCACCAACACTTGGTTTCTGGACCTGCCTGCGTCCTGCTGGCTGTGCAGGCATAGAAACGGTATACACCTGATAAAAGCAATCCCAACCCTTGCCGTTCAGAAAGAGTAGGAGCGGCAGCACATCAGCATGCAAAGAGTTAACTAGTTAAACTTCTACAAACCCCCACAGTAACTTTCCAAAAGCTGACAATAAGTAAAAGAAGTGCTGGTTATCCATTTTTTAAAGGGATGGGATTGGTGTTAGAAGAAGGGGAAAGAGGATCAAACACCTCAATGCAACAAAAGGTTGTGTCAGAAGGCCCTCAATCACAAACCTCCTTCAACAACAGATAGTCCAACCTTCCGGAGCAGTTACCCAGGCAGCGCAGCTAAAAAGTTCCATGACATGAAAAGAACAAAAACCAAAGGGACAGAGGTAGTTATTGTCATGCACACTCCTAACTCCTCTCTCTCTCTCTCTCTCTTCTCTCTCTCTCTGTTTGGGCTTTTCCCTCCCCCGTGAAACTTTTGCATAAGCTGGTGGAGAAAAGTGATGGTGTGACTTGCTGAAAAGAAATCCCCTATTTGTGTGCTACCTCCTAGGTGGTGAGGGGGACCGTGGATTTTCATGTCAGAAACACCTGATGAATGGAGAGGTCACCTCCGTGAAGACTTCACAAGGGTCGTCTGAAATTATAAGTATAAGTATAGCCCTGAAAATATTGTCAATATTCCCTGGAACACATTTTTAAAAAAAATTAATGATGTTTTTTTTTTCTCTCAGACAAATCCTGTCTTCAGTGCACAGTGGATGTAAGTTATTTGCATTTTCTGTGTTGGGTCTTAGAGGTATCTTAACAGCATGTACAAATTTTCCACTAAAATGTAAATTATTAACAAGTCAGAGTTTTCATTTGTTTTATCTCCTGATGTGAGATCTAAATAAGTATGTAGAACACTTAAAATTCTTACCATTTCTCTGTTTTCTGAGAAATAAATCTCATGCACACTGCACAATATATTTTCTTCTGCATAACATGCTCCCGTGTAATGGAAAATAAACTAATTTGAGAGGGAGTACCATGTTTCCTGGAGACCTAGTTGTGTAAGTAAAGAGTGTTAACCCAAAGGAGAACCTGGTCCTGTTTTCTTCACCCCCCACCGCTTCCTCCTCCAGAAGCATCACGTATGTCCTCATCATTACCTGGTTTGACACCAGCCACGTCCTTGATTTCTAACCTTCTCTTGAAATCAGATTTAAGAAACTCAGTGGTGCTGCCATCAAAATTTACACCCACAGATAAAACAGTACACAATGTCAGGGCGACTGGCAGGAGTGTGATGGGGTAGTTGTCCTTGGAGATACGATAACAACAACACAACCATTTAAATGGTGCTTACTCTGTGCTAGTCGTGTTTCACACAAACTCTCTCCTTCTTGGTCATAACAATCCATTTTATAGATGAGGAAACTGAGGCTCGGGGGTGTTAGGTAACTTGCGCAATGTCACAGGTAGCAAGTGATAGAACTAGGAGTTCTGGACCCGGGCATGCGCTCAACATCATGCTATATCAGAACGAAGTTAAGGAAAGGAAGGAAGGACTAATGAGATACCAAGAGCCAGGGCCTGCCATGTAGGGGTACGTATCCCGAGTTTGTTTGGCTCAGGAGAGTTCCTGAGACCCTGAGAGAAGGAGTGAATAATGAACGGGTGGGCTGGCCTTGACAGGAGAGACAAAGTACTGGAACGACGAGGAGATCGTTAGGTGAAGAGGTCGGACATAGGAAGGGAGCCTTGGAACCCAGTCTGGGGAGCAGTCGGCAGCCTTCGTGGAGCCCCGGGAAAATGATGGGCTGGTTAACGACGCAGAGAATAAAAGGGAGTTCATCTGTGGTGTTAAGCTGGGCTCATCCACTCCTGTGGACGGAGAGCGGCAAGAAGGCCGCGCATTCCCAGTGGGCCAAGGCCAAAGCCTAAACTCTGACCACAACTATGAGCATGAAAAGGAAGAGGGTGGATTCAGGAAATGTTGGCCAAGAAAAAAAGTGGCAACGGTTGGTAACAGACTGGATGTGGGGAGGGAGAAAGACAGTGGTGAGACGGAAATAACTCTGGGGTTCCCGGTTGGGAGGTCCATGATAGGGCGGTGTTTCCCACTGCGGAGGAAAGCGGGCCGATAGGGAAGATGAGTAGCTCTGGCCATGCTGTTTAAGTGGCCAACGCTAATGTCAGGGAGTTTTGAGATCTCTTGTGGGAAGAGGGCTTTGTGGGCCTAAAGCATGGCTGGTTTCACTGGTGGAGACCTCGACCTTTCTCATAGAGGTCAGGGGTCCAGGAGCTGCGCTCAGGAGAGAGGCTGTCAGGTGTGTAGGGGGCTGATGGGGGAGGCATGGGTGCTGGATGGCTGGAGCCCAATGTGCACAGGAGGAATGCCAGGAAAATGAGCGAGAAGCAGAGGCAAAGCCAGGTACAGAGGCGGAGGGGAGCTGCAGGTTATTTCTCCTAGTGTGGAGCCGAGTGAAAGGGCCCAAGACAATACTTCAGGCTACGTCGTGGACAACACCTCGTACCCTGGCTCTATCTGTTCTAGGAAGAACGGCACAAACATTCACCATTTCAACTCAGGCAAAGAACGTTGCATTTAAAACAAAACAAAACAAACAAACAAACAAATAACAGGATGTAGGAATACAAAGTGGTATATCATTGTCCTTTCATTTTCTGGGGTCAAATATTTCTCTACTGACTCAGCCAGTTTTCCCAAGTACTATTTCTAGGAGAGTAGGGCTTATCCATAAAATATCGAGGCTAAAAAAAAAAAATTCCCTCCAGTGCCTCCTCCTAGGTTCACCGATATTTACAAACATGCAGCCGTGTGAACAGTGACCCTCCTTCAGGAAGAGCCCTGGGAACGGCGGGTATTATTTCAGCTGGGGCAGAAGCAGAGCCCTGGGATGAGACTGATTGATTCAGACCAGATGGGTGGCCACACATAGGTGTGACCAAAATAGAAACACATTGCAGACATTCCAGGCACTGTCCTCCCCTGGCCAGGAGGTGGGCTGCCTGTGCCGCTCTCTTATCTACCTCCTAATGTGCTCTCCAATCGAAGAATGTTAATGATACGAACTCTTCTCCTTCATGTTCACAGCCTGGTCACATGGCACCGGGCTTGTAGTCCCATTTAAAAAAATAACACGACCAAAGCATGGCATCTAGTGCTGAAGTCCATGATTATTTGAATTTCCTCTTCCCCATGAAAACTAGCCTGTCAGAAACTTTCTTTGTTACCTCCCAGGAAAGAAGAGTGTGGCTGTAAATGACACCACTGTTGTCATCATTGATCAGAATTTAATTCCTAGGGCCTAAAAGAGGACCATGTACTAAGGATTCTAACCCAGTTATAGGCGCTTTAACTGTAAGTTCCCTGAGCCCCAGGACTCTGTTAGAAAAAGGTGGCACCTGCCATTAGACAACCATAGCTATCCTTTTTCTTTCTTTCTTTTTTTTGAGTCACCATTTGCTATTCAAGATTTCTCTCGGATTACTTCGGTTCTCCTTGCTACAAGTTAGTGAATTTTGCATTTATACATTAAGGTAAGGGTTTGTTACCTTGGCAATATTGGGGAAAGGAAATGCAGCTTTCTTATTTATTACAAGAATTACTCTCTTGCTTGAAAGGAAACCCAACAAGCATGGGAAATTTTCTATCATTCAAAACTGAAGTGTCGAAATTATGCACACATTTGAATATTTATCAACATTAAAGGAAACTCCCAAAGCTTTTGGTTCAACAATGTAAAACCTAGAGAAAGGATGAGCCTCCACTAAGGGCCCAGCGGCATTTAAACAAGTATGGGAGGGGCTCTGTCGTAATCAGAGCAAGGTTTCTCTCACCCTCTCCCTCCAGTGTCCTGCCCTGTTCTATCCCAGCATGAAGTTGGAGTTTATACATTCTCACAGAGGCCTGCAACTGTTACCTCCTTGTTATAAACCTTCTCAGATTTCACTGCTGTGGGTTCATCTGCAGGTTCTGACTGACATCCCGGCTGTCCCTCACACTCACCAAGAAGTTCTCAGAGACCTACCACCGGAGAGGCGAGGCAGACCGTTGTTTTCACTCTGCCCTCCATTTGCAACTAAACATGTAATTCCTCCGATACCATTTTGAACCAATTACATCTGGAGGGAATTGTTATTTTAGTCTAAAAGGTATAAAAGTATTGGGTCATTTTTTTTCTTTCCACAAACAGCTGGCCCATGGCTGCCATGACACCCTATAGAAGTAGGATTCTATGGAAGACTTTTCTCCTAAAAGTATAGGCTCATTTGGTGTGTGTGTCATCACAATTCCTAGAAATAATGTTCTGGTGATAGACAGCTCTTGAATTTACTCGGCCAGTAGGCTGCCTTCTTTAAAAAAAAAAAAAAAACACCAAAAAGATTCCTGTGCAGGTGGAGATTAGCATATGAAAAATGCTTTTAATTTTGTCCACTGCTGGACTTACCTATCTGTCAAACCCATGCATGTGACTGCAGTTGGGTTCAACTTATCTCTACGTTACCACCTCAGCAGCAGGTTTCACACAGTCCGTGTGTTGTTGGTTATTGCTCAGCCGAGTTCATTGAACTCCCTTTTCTCACAACAAACCCAGTAAAAGGCGTAGACACCAAACTGCTGCTCCGATGTCTGAGTACCAGAAATAAAAGCGATCATGTCCACGAGCCTGGGAAACGGCTTTCTCTGACATCAGCCCGTGCAAACCATCCCTTGGCAGCTACTATCCGAGATCCCCGCGGTTCTTACAACGTGGAACTTCGTTTCCATATTGCTTCTCTGCAGTAATATCGCATATTGACTACGTTTTATATTGTTCATCTTTCATCTCTCCAAAGCAAACTTGCCTGATTTTGCAGTTCTCCTCTGTGCCATGTGATCTGCGCAAACCACAGCTCGGGAGGCTTCTCGGAATGAAGTGCAACGAGATGGCCCAGGGGTGGTGTGGCTGTGGGCCTGTGGCGGCTCCCTGCTCCACTCACTGTCAGGATTCCCACAGGGCAGTACCTATCCCGAAGTGGGCCTCCGGGGGTTCCCGTGGGCTGACTCTCAAAACAGACTCGCAGCTCAGCACACCTATTCACTTATGAAGTCTGAGCAGCACATAGGTGCATGCAAGTGCTATTTCTATGAAAGGCCGCTGGAGGTCTGGCGGGAGGGAGAACGCTCTTTCCCACCATTCACACGAGAGGAAGATCAAGAACACCGGGCACCTCGCCTTCTTCAAAGGCACCGCGCTGAGGGGAGCACCTGAAACAACGTTTCCCTCCCACCTGCAGCCCGCGCCGGGAACAGGAAGACACTTCTCATATGAAAATAAACTAGCCCAGTCTTCTCTCCACGAGCCGACTTCTCTATAGTTTACTAGTCGTATTGTTTCACAGCGTGCTTGGGTAGTCAGCGGCCACAACTCAGGCGATGCTCCCAAAATGATTTCATCAAAGGAAAACAAACCCTTTTCACAATGCTTGTTGGATGTCTGGGTGAATGGGCAGACACCAGCGGGCTCAGTATTTCACATATTGCCTACTCATTTTACATAGCCTTTTCCATAATCAAAATTCTCCTGTTTTGGACAGTCAGAGGTAAGTGGACAATAGCCAAAGGCAACTTTTAAACTTTATCTACTCTAATCACTTGAAAATGTTCACCGGGGCAATGAAACAGAATTTATATATTATCTACTATCTCGGGTAAATATTGGTCTTAATAATAAACTGTCTGGTAGATGTATGAAACCTGTTCACCCTCCGATGGATGTTTTACTGGCCAGAAGAGCAAAGGCCCTACTTGATTTTAAATTTGACTCTACGAAAACGGTCAGCACCCAAGAAAATGCTAGCACGATTCCAGATAAAATATACTGTTGTGAGGCTGAAAAGTGCATGCAAAGCAAGCTGCATTATTAGAATGTTTAAATATTAATTATACCGCTGTGTAGTAAAGATGATCAAGTAGGAGTGTCAACTAATTTTCTAAAAGCTGCAACATTTACTTTCATCTAAACTTCCTTTGTTAAACTAAAACTAAAAGCCCAGCAAGTTTAGTCTACTTGAGTGTGTTTATTTTTATTGGTTTCTGCATAATTTTTTTCTACCATAAACCAACTTTAACCCCTTTTCTGTAATCTCTGCCAGTATAACTCCAATAGCACATCATAAAATTCCTATAATTCTTCAAAGCCACGGAGTTGGGAAGGAAAGGCTTGGGCATTTTGTAACCAACGCCAGCTCCAAGCTTCAGCCGATTACAGTTAACTCTTACAAACCTTCCCCTTTGTGCGCGTGGGTGAACTTATAGGTCTGAGCCGTGTGGTCACTCTCATCCCCACTCTTCGGTGGCTGCCTCGGAGTTGGGAGCCCGTTCCGTTTTGTGCAGAATGCCGTGGTGGTGGAGGTAGACCCCAGCCCTAACAGCCCAGGCGTCTAGGCTGACAGATGGGGAGACAGATGCACAGAGTCACGCAAACATCACAGACTTCTTACCTCATGCAGAAGCCTGTGCGCAGGGAGAGGAGGCGGCCTGACAAGTGGACACGGACATGAGCTCTGATGGGGGAGGAGTTCGGCAGAGTCACGGCCACTTTCCCCTTTGGCTGTCTCCCCAGCACCTCCTGCTCACTTAGATTCTAACGCAGCTCCTGCTCATCAGCCAGGAGAACCACTCTGAGAGTCTTAAGGAGAGACAAAGGGAGAGCCGCTCGGGTTTCATTCCGTCACCCATGGATGCCCAGCC